GGGGGGGGGGGGGGGGGGGGGGGGTCAGACGAAGCATGCAAGACGTAAGGGGTGGTAGAGGAAGAAGAGGAGGAGGGACTAGAATAAGATAAGTGGTTCAAAAACTACTGCTCATCTATCCTTCATTTTCCTTTCAACATTTACGTATCCACACCCTCCTTTCTCCGTCTCCCACACTCCTTTCCTTCACTCCCTCCTTCCTCTAACATCCCCCCCCCCCCCCCTCGCAGTGATGCTGCTGAGCCAGTGGAGCAGCATTCCTACTGAACAAAGAGTCACAGTCCTGTGAGCTGCAGGTGGAGCGCAGAATAACTGAGACTCTTCACACGAATACTTCTCAACGACCAAAGTCAGTGTTTAGATATCATGTCATGTGATCTTCCCCAGTGCAGAGTGCATGTGTGTACATACCGTAAGACTGCCAGGGGTCCTTTGGTGCGGTGGCGGCGGCGGCCCCGGCTCCGGCCCCCGCGCTCCAGGGGTCAGCAGTGGCACCAGGCTCTGGGACGTTCATCAGATCCATCAGAGAGGACTGAGGCTAGAAGAGAGACGGAGAGAGTGACCAAGAGACGGGAGACATGAAGAAGAACAAAGAAGGCAGACAGAAGAGGAAGAAGACGAACGGGACGAGTTAGGATAGAGAGGGAGAAGATGAGGAGGAAAAACGTCTGTTGCTCCGCCATTATCCTATTCAAGCACACGGTGATGGTCGTTACATGAGCCATACTTCTTCACTTTAGCTCCGAGCGCCCTCAAACTCCAGCCAGCCGGCTATTCGGCCAGAATCATGATGAGTAAACTAGATAGTGTGCTGCCAGCTTCGTTACTGCTCGTGAAGCAGCAGACATTTTCAGGCAGAAAAATAGAGGATGCGGAGAGACCGTGATAACGGAACTACTGAGTCGCTCTGGTCTCCATGTTCCTGTGTGTTGTTACCTCTCTCTTCTTCTTGGCCAGTTTTGCTGATTCTGGACCTCCTTTCTTACTCTCCTCCAAGGCCATCTGTAGTCGCAGGTCGTCCCCTCTGCGTATGCGGTCCTCCTAAACACCCACAGAGCAGTTGGCATAAAGCAACACTCACAAAAGATCATGACAGGCACGGCTTCACGCTGACCGTGTTAGCGCGTGTTTCTGCATCCGTGTTATGCGTGTTTGTGTTGGTGTTTATGCGTGTTCGTGCGTTGGCGTTTCTGCGTCCGTGCGTTGGCGTTTCTGCGTGTTCGAGTCGATGTTTCTGCGTCCGTGCGTTGGTGTTTCTGCGTGTCGGTGTTTCTGCGTGTTCGAGTCAGTGTTTCTGCGTCCGTGCGTTGGCGTTTCTGCATGTTGGTGTTTCTGCGTCCGTGCGTTGGTGTTTCTGCGTGTTGGTGTTTCTGCGTCCGTGCGTTGGTGTTTCCGCGTGTTTGAGTCAGTGTTTCTGCGTCCGTGCGTTGGTGTTTCTGCGTGTTGGTGTTTCTGCGTCCGTGCGTTGGTGTTTCTGCGTGTTTGAGTCAGTGTTTCTGCGTCCGTGCGTTGGTGTTTCTGCGTGTTGGTGTTTCTGCGTCCGTGCGTTGGCGTTTCTGCGTGTTGGTGTTTCTGCGTCCGTGCGTTGGCGTTTCTCCGTGTTGGCGTTTCTGCGTGTTCGAGTCAGTGTTTCTGCGTCCGTGCGTTGGTGTTTCTGCGTGTTGGTGTTTCTGCGTGTTCGAGTCAGTGTTTCTGCGTCCGTGCGTTGGTGTTTCTGCGTGTTGGTGTTTCTGCGTGGCAGTGTGTTGGTGTTCGTACCTGATCTGCCGCCTCTCGGCTCATGGCCAGAGCCAGCTGCAGCTGCAGCTCCTCCTCTCCGCTGGTCTGGGGTCTGGCCTGCTCCAGTTCTGAGCCCGCGTTGGGAGACGTGGCTGACGAGACACATTCAGAAACACATGTTAACATCGCCGCCACATGAGACTCCATCGCACACTGTGTGAAATACAGCTGTGCTGAAAAACTCGGGATGGAAATGTGTTAATACTCCAAAACCAAGCTCTGGTGGGAACATTTAATTCTTACAAAGACATACAGAGTAAACATTTGGACTGTATAGAAAATAGAGTGTGTGTGTGTGTGTTTGTTGGGTGTGTGTGTGTGATTAGAGGCCTTCTGTGAGCCTATAAGGGACTACAGGTCCATTCAGCTTATTGGATTAGACCAGGCCATGTGGCAGGGCAAGAAAACACGTGGCGCACACAATCTGGTCAGGAGAAAGACGCTCGGAAGCCAACAGTTGAGGTTCATTAAGAGTTTGGAAAGTCTAAGTGTGACCATGCGTCTTTGAGTTTGGAAAGACCTTAATGTTGTTCTGGTTCTCTTATTTAAATAATAAACACTGTTTCTCTCTAGCTGGCCCCACATATACGTTTCTTTGCGTCTCTGACCAGTCATGAGGGGGACGTTCCCAAACACTCACTCAGATACTCATCACACCACGTTGACCTTGTGTGTAACGTTACATCCAACGGGTAGAGAAAGACACATGAGCGGCCCTTCAGCAGAGACAAACAACAACAGTGACACAGATGTGACTCAAGGAAACACTCATGGTTAGTTTCACTATTTGACACAATTAACTTTGACGAACATCCTCCTGCCCTCTCAGGAAGTACACGTCACATCAACAGTTCTCTACAAACAATACAGAGTCACTTCAGATCAGATGTTTCCATGATGAGGCAATGGGACAAATTCTTTGTAAAAGGGAACATTTCCTTTCAGTTAAAAGGTTCGGCCTTCCTCGAAATGTCTGCCAGCTAAATACTTCATCATTTGGGGATATGCATGTTTAATAACAACATACTGAGTCTATTATGTGGTGATTAAGCAGAAGCATTACGGCATCATTTCTGCATTTCTCAATACTTAATTCACTGCTTCTGTCTCGCAGCTCCGGCCTCAGATCCGAGTCGGTCTCCTCTCCTCCCTCCTTGACTCCTTGCTCACTTCTTATCTGCTTTCCTGCCATACTCGTGTCTCCAAAACTCTGTGTCCAGACTGTGTGTCTCCGGGGGAAAGTGACCGGAGGAACAAGGGGTGAAGGTGTGTTTGGTTAGCTGGTGGGACGGCTACATGTCTGCCCTAAATGGAGAGTGAACCCAGTGGTACTGAAGCCTACACAGAGACAACGTTACTCAAATCATATCGTAGTCAGTGACATCAAACCGATCTCAGCCTCAGTCCTTAGCAAGGCACCAAATGTGTACTACTGCACCGTTTAGCAGCAGAAGGTCCATTCATTCACTCATTTCTTACACAAAGTAGGAACGCACGATGTGGCCATCTTGTTATTACGACATGTATATATCTTCAGTTGATCGATGTCAATTATCAGGATGTATTAAATAATAATAATCATGCGTTACAGTTTTAAGAGTATTCTCCTTAGGACAGAATAGCCCTACGACATAGTGATGTCTTTCTTACACAGGTGCCAACACCTTCCATTAATATGTTTGATCAAAGCATTACATTCTTCTATCAAAAGGAATATTTTCATTGAGCTCTTTCTGAATCTCTTCAGAAACAACTGCAAAGCTAAAGAGCGCTCCAACAACAGTTTGTCAACCACTAAGTCAAAACCAACACGACAACACGCGGCACAAAACCTTTTAGAAGCGAATCAGAAAGACAAATAAACGGAACTCAAAGCCAACTACAACACAGCAGTTTGTCGCCCAGCACTGTGGGAATGGACCATATATGGATAATCACTATGTCTGGGCATTCCTCACAGACACGGCTCTGCCTGCTCGTAGAAGAACGCATTTAAAAAGTTCACTCTTCTACGGTTTGCTGCGACCGTGTGAGTCGGCAGTTTGGATCAGTTGGTTGTGTTTTCATCTTAAATCACTCTGCTGCTACGTTTAAACTTCAGCTTACAGAACTTAACAAAGCTAAGACTGATGAGCACTTGTGTCAGCTGTGCTGGAGTTATGTGGTAATTATGAGGCTTTACCCCACGGTGTCAGCCAGACACAAGAAGGAAGTGAAACCTGATGAGGAAGGCAGGTTCTTAAATGTGCTTTCTTATATTATTCAAACACTTTCAAGACATTTTGTGTTAAACTGAAAATGTACATTTTCCCTGACATAGACACAGAGGTGTGTGTGTGACGAAAAGGTTGATATAAGTTTTAAATAACTAAATGTAATCACATGGCTGTGAATCAGGACACGTTAAGGCCTCGTTCCAGCACATATCAGATGCTTTGAGGACTGATGGGGGATATTCTAGGTGAACACCGTTCATTCACACCCCGTCCGGACAACAATACTGGAAAAAGAGTTCGACTGGAATCCCAAAAATCCCCCGCTGGAAACACCCACAGCGGCGACCCCCCCCCCGCCTCTCTCCCATTGGCCCGTCTCTCCTTCAGTTTTCTCAAGTGATGACTCAGCAGCTGGAGCTCCCGCCTCTGAGCCACAAACAACACACATGCAGGAATGTGATGAACACACACTCCGTGCAACACGTAGGATCCACGCAGGCTGAACCCCACACACACACACACAAACACACACACACCCTGCTGTGCACAAAGGACTGGGAGGTCAGAGGATGAAAAGGATAAGAGGCCGAGGTTCACTCTTTCATTTAAACTTCTCCATTCTTCCCCTCTGTCCCTCGACACGTTACCCCACTTCCTGACCCGGATTTCTGTTTCTTTTCAGCTCCTCCCTCCCTTCATGTGAACTTTTATTCTGTTTGAATGGGCTGGAAGAAACGAGCACCGGTAGACACTCAAGAGCAGAAACAGGAGTGAAGACGTATCACTTGGTGAAGATATGTTCTACAAATGCACATTACTGCTGCTGATTAGACTGATAAGCATTCATGAACAAAGAACAGACATGTCTTCTCCGTTCGCTCGTATATCAGTGGAAGGTCAGTCTGGTTTCCATGTCATGGATCTCTTCTTCATCTGTCCATGTCGCTCCCTCACCGTGTCTCTGGACGAGTGAGCGTATCATTGAAAAGAGAAGCAGATTCCTCC